TTATGATGGTCCAAAAAGGCCATGTGGAAAGCGTGCGGTTCCATGGGCCAGTCCTCAAGTCTCCTCACCATACGACGTAGATCTGGAATCGAGACGCCTTTTCGATGGGAGGGATTCTAAGTAGCTACGAAGTAGGTACGGTAACCGCCTCATGTTATATTTGAAATATCCACCCACAGACTCCAATGACATGTAGGTTTATATCCTCAGACCCATGGAATGTCGCTTCCAATATCATGATCAGTACATAGGTATCTGAGTCTCATCACGGAGATTGGAAACGTCTTCCTCTTCTATACTTCTAAACAAATCATGAGACCCTGTAGATTTGTCATGTATATACTCCGTAGCGTCTCACGTTATAACTTTGAATTGTCAGTCAGGTCGGGGATAGATAGTTAGTGCCCCGTATGTACTATGGCTCAAAAAAACTCTACGACTGACCACTGTTTGACACTTCAGGATAGTGAAGGATTGACGACATCTACTGTAGGTTTATGAAGTATCTACCAGTCAACTTGGATTCTTTTTTCTTTTTTTGGGGGTCTTTTTCCTTTTCGATTTCCCCTTTCCCCGTTGGTCGTTTCTACCTCTGATCCTGTCTCGAGACTGATAGATCCAATGACTAAAGTGCTGTCACTTTCCTGAAGCTAATTAAAAGAATTTCGCATTTATTACCATAACAGTTACTTGTAGACAGGTATCCCAGGAATTAAAGCCATACGAGGGTCTTCCCCCGTCATACCAGATAATGCCTGAACATAGAACAGTCCAATGTAGAGAGACAGAAAAGTATTCATAACAGAATTGTGTCTTCCAGCCTGAAATTAGATTCTTCATTGAATCTTCCTCTGCTTTTTTCTTGGATATTAGAATTATTCAACTTCTATCAAATCATGACTGATGGATAGTTCCATCCCCAGTGTGGTACCTACATACACTCTAGCCACTCAGTCCCATACTGATTCACCAACAAGGGATCTAGAAGCAGTTCAAAGCATCTATCTGCATCTAGAATTGGCACAAAGGGGGGGCGCATTTCCTTTCGTTCTGGCTCTTTATTATTATAATTATTATTATTTTCCTAATTTTTCTTTTCTTTTTTTTGATCCTTTGGAAGATCCACTGGCGTGTGTTTAGTTCAAGCCTTCAAAGGGCACACACACCAGAAAAGAATAGGAAACACGACCTGATAATATTACTGGCAACCCCCGGTCTCCTCTTGTCCCAGCACAGTGGAACAAAGACAGCGCCCAGAGCAATTTTTGGCTCGATTTTCTCAGCAGGTGCAACACCGCCATTGACTCAGGGCCTCAGCCTACTGGACTGCACCAGCCAGAGAGGTGTTCCTGACTGACTGACTGATGTCTGTCTGTGTCTGTCTGGCTCTCCATGCATGGAAGAACCATAATACATCTCCACTATTACCCACTGATCAGACATTAAAATATTAAATAAGATCGACGGGGCTCTTGAGATTCACCATCTCGTTCACATCCCCATACCCCGGTCAATCAGTCTGTCAATCAATCAATCAGTGCTCTCCTCCAATTGATCCCTCCTTCCATCCTGTTTGCTGAATATCTTTCATAAAATATTCTTCATACCCCTCCTCTATCCTCCCTCTTCTCTTTTCCTTGGTCCCATTTTCCTTGGTCCCATCTATCCTGCCTACTTCTACTCTTAATCGCTGATTTCCAGTGGTACTCTTCTACCGCTCCGTCTCTTTCTGGTACCCGTCTCCAAACGACAGTGACTATTGCTGTCTGATACAGCGTTCCATCTTCTCTCGGGGTCTCTGTTGCTGTGGGGCATCAATTCACTAGAGCCTCAAATGCTCAACTTGCCTCTTAAGCATCCTCTACTTAATCATAAAGTTCTTGTCATTCACCTTCTCGGCTGTCTCTCTGTCCGGCTCGCCAGGTGGTTTCCCCCGCTTGTCTAAGTCAAGGGGTATCATTTTGACAATCGGACTTTCTCAGCCTTCGCACAAGACTCAGAAAGGGGAAATTTCTAGATTTCCTTTCAAGCATCTGCAATTGCTGACGAAGGTCCTACAACCACTCCAACTGCGTCCTACAGACGCATATTTCCACTATCACCGACTTTTCCTCCCAACATCTCTATGCCATCGTCACCTCTGATTTGCTACCACCATGGCTGCTGCAGCAGCAACTGCGAGATTCGTCCAACCTCCTTCTCCCCCTCAGTCAACCGACGGAGATCTCGCTTCTCAACAGTGTGGCATGCTCAACTCGCTATATTGCTCCCAGAATCCCTTTGTCACATCTAGCTTGCCGTGCAGCGCTGAAGCTGCCTACAGTGAGCTTAAGCCTCAAGCAATGGTGAGTTGGAAGCTTTTTCCAGCTTGTTGATTACCTACTGACTGTTGATCAGACCTACGGCCCTTCGTCGTCACCGCGATATGTCGCCCACGAGTATTCAACACCTCTACCACTACAGCATACGGTAGGGTTTCCGCCCCCGTTCTCAATGACACATTTAGCTAGCCAAGCATGTGCTGATGGACTACAGATGCTACCCTCAGGTATTCAGATCAATACGCCGCCTCCTGCCGCGGACGAGGGAGTTGTTCCGAGCAAATTAGAAGCGACTCCTCCTCGCTGGCCATCTTCATCAGCCTTGAAGCTTTCCCCTGGGAAGGTAAGAGTGGCTAAACCTCCCAGAATTAGGCGCCGAGCCAAGAAGGCGAACAACCGGGAATCAAAACCTAAGCTACCTGGTCCTTTAAGTGAAGTTACCAAGCATTTGACACATGTTCCCCTCAGAGACATGGACAGCTGGGTACATCGGCCCAAAGAGGTGCGTCACGCGGAGGTTGCCAAAAAGAATGGCAAAGTCGCCAGACCCATGAACTCGTTCATGCTCTACCGGTCTGCATACGCCGAGCGGACCAAGGAGTGGTTTGCACAGAATAACCACCAGGTCGTTTCAGAGGTCGCAGGCGACAGCTGGCGCATCGAAACGCCAGAGATTCGCGAGAAGTACGAGGTTCTAGCGAACGTCGAAAAGACCAATCATCTCAAAGCACACCCAGGGTACAAGTTCTCTCCGTCGAAGGAAAAGAAGAAACGATCTGAAACGGATGACGACCAGCTGACCGTGGATGGTGGCGAGATGACCTCTGGATCTAGCCCGGCGTTCCTCCAAGTTCATGCTGTGGGCTCGTCTGAGGTCGACAGCAATGGGTGGAACAGCCGCGACTCGACACCCTTCGACTTTCCAGAGCATGGGCTGCCCACGACGACATATTACAGTTCTTCGTGGCAGACCAGTCATCCCAGCATGTCAGCTCCCAAGCCCTCTTCATACCTCCAGCAGCCAATGCATCAAAACCTCATAGGCCCTCCTACTGAAGATTCTCGATTTAAACATGTTGGACTCCAGGACATCCAGTTCACCTCGTCGACGGCGCTGGCCGGGCTGCCTGGAGCCGCCCACCACGACCTTCTTCAGCCCCAGAACACTCCTGGAACTGGACCCGATGGACAGCTGGATCCTCAGTTGCTGTCATTAAGCGACCACTCTAGTCAGCATGCTATGTACAACCACTCACACTATGCGATCTGGCAAGAAGTCCCGACGAGTAACTGTTATGTCCCTGTTCCCTCTCCGCTGCAATCCACATACCATGTCGGCGCCACCTATCATCAAGGCCTGCAGACTCTAGGGGATAGCCGCGATACTTGGGATTCTACCAACAACGAGTCCAGTTTTGATGCTTCCAATGGCGAATTCGAACACTGGATCAACTCTCAAGCATCTGGATATCCCTGATCGGCAATGTGACATTTCAAGGCAGCTTCCTTTTGAGTCCCTGTCTTGTTGCGACGAGAAGACGAGCCTCGTGTCATGCTTACTGATGTGTTTTCTGATTTCTTTCTGTCATTGGGCCGGCCTTTTGTAATTTAGAAGAAAAACTCACGGGTCGGAGTTGTACAGGCGCAGAGTCTAGTATGGTGGGACTGATGATACCCTGCTTTCCTGGTGCTCCTGTCTCTTTGGTCTGTGTGATATCTCTTTGTGTCTGTTGGAGTTGATCTCTTTCTGGGTGGTAATTTCCTTTGATATTCCATGAAATATCCCTGCAAGTTATGTTGTTGATATCTTGATTTTGACACAACATTAGAGTGACTGGCGCAAGTCGTTATTTCCTGGCTTTACTCTCCGTTGTAACATCTTCTTCGCACTGCAGTGCTACAATTTTGTCCAAGGATGAGCAATCTTCCGGTAACCAGTATCTTCTCCCGTCGATTGTAGCTAGAGAGCTATTGGATCGTGACCACTTTCATGGATTGAACCCATAGTGCTTTCAGGAGTCAATCGGCAGGAAGCATCTTCTCTACTCAGATCCACCGATCCACTCGTTCATAGCCAAATCTGCACTATATAAGTCTACGTCATTAACACATTCAGTATGTTCTCCTTGCAACACTGAACATGCACAAGCCGTCAACGAGGCTATTTGAACGAGGAATCGACTGCGGGTGATCAATGCGGGTGAACAAAGCGGCTGATACACCAGGTCGGATATATCTTTGTTGAGACTGTGAGTCAATGCATTCCGTCATTGATTCTCCTGCATTATGCTTTTACTGAGCTTCCTTACTTTGTTGTCTCTCCTCGAGTGTGTGATAAGGCATGTATGTCCACAGATCACCCTAGTGACGAGACAATCACTCTCGGTCAGTCTGCAGATCGCTGATCTATTGATCGGAGATCTTCAATAGATGCACCAAGTGTAAATCCTAAGTCGATAATCGACGTGATGACAATTCAGTCAGACCAGTCACAGGACAGGAGACACATCGTCAGTTGGAAGATTGGGACCTGGGCACATAGTGATGCCTACTTTTCCTGGACATAAATAGTCTACCCTCGCTGGACAGTTAAAGTCCCGGATCATTCTAAGCCGTATAAACTCAAAGACTCAAGTTACTCAACCCTCTGAGAGATCGGTATCCAAATCAATTGCCGACATGAAGCTCGCAATCCTAGCAGCCTTATCGACTCTCGCATGCGCAGCTTCCCAAAGCTATTCCGTTGGCGTAAGTGTCTCTTCCCTTCCCACGGCACCTTATGACAGCTGACAAGGTAGTATGACTCCTTGAACCACGGCCCCGTCGACCCCAATCCCTTCTAGGGCCTCTCATACGGCGACCAGTTCACAGTCGCCTGTCGCGCCAAAGTAGCCCCAACCCTCTACAGACCCAAAAAGAACCCCAACGTGTTGGCCCTCGTTCCAAAGCCTCCCGGGACGTTCCTCGGTTCCGTCCGCAAGGCCCCGACGGCGGATAGCTTTGAGGCCAAGAAGATCTCCTTTGCATGCGTGACGGACCAGAAAGGCAAGACGGTGCCTGTTGACTGTACTGTCCTGTTCGAGGGCGCGCAGAACAACGACCTGGGGATTCCGAAGGTCCAGACGGCGAAATACGCGAGCACGCCCCGGTTGCAGAGAGTGGATTTTGAGGGGTTTACGGACCTAAGGACGGTGGGATTTACTGTCTTCAAGGCTGGGGAGGATGATAAGTTGAGTCAGGATGTTACGTTGATTTTGGATAACTTTGGGTATGTTGTCAACTCGAAGTAGTGTCGTGGATATGCGACCTCCCAACATTTGTGATGGGCTAGGACCGAATATCGCAGGAGCATTGGATTTAGGGCATGAATCCTTAGTAGGATACATTGAAGATCCCTTTATGAACTTGTAACTCAATATGTGCTCGACTGCGTCGTGCTGTCTTACTGTTGTCGTATGGGTGCTTTTGATTCTTCATATTGAGCCTGATACCAATCAAGGCATCCAATATTCGTCATTACTGGACAAACCTACGCAAGATGATGCACCATCCATTTGCAAGAATAATACAGTGAGAGAGGAGTTGTAGATTGTAAGTGCCTACTCCATAGGTTCTTATGCAATGACCGCCTTCGCGAGGCTTGGCACACGGAATTGTATCAACCCGGCAGAATAAACTTATCGGGCGATCATTGACACACGCGTCCAGCGCGATCGTCAGACGCATTAGATTACAGCAGCAATAGCACCTAGAATCCTGACCCTTCTTCCATCCATCCATCAGCCATCGTTGTTCTCAACAAACGATCATGTACGGCGAACTCGGAAACAAACTGGTCCGCCGCGTCTTACACCCCCAATTCCATCCCGCGCTATTGCTAACAGCAGTGACAGGTCCAACACGCCAAACGCACGCAATCCCTCGTCCACCTCCCCCCTTACCAGACCGAACTGGTACGCACCGTCGCCCGCGAAGTCCGCGATCTCGACCGCGACGTCGCCCGCCTCCTCGAGCCCTTCGGCGGCAGCTTCAACCCCTCCGCGGACCCGGCGACCGCCTGCGCCCTACTAGTCGATCACATCTGCACGCGTCGCAACAAGCGCTGTCTCCTTGCATATCACCGCGTGCGCACGGAGAAGCTCGAAGAGCTCTGCTGGAAGGGGGCTGATGTGCTGGAGCAGGAGCAGCCGAATGCCGACGAAGGGGCGGCGGCGCATGGGGTTGTGAGTTCGCAGGCGGGGACCCATAGCTCGCTGAGTCCCGAGGAGGAGGAGTATTTCCGGCAGTATAGTGATATGTTGGCGGCGTATAAGGGGCAGTGGACGGATATTGATCTCACCGGGAGCTTGGAGCCGCCGAGGGATCTGTTTATTGATGTGAGGGTTTTGAAGGATGCGGGGGAGATTCAGACGGAGTATGGGTATGTTGTTTTTGCTCTTGTCTGTCGGCTGAGCAATCCTACTGCATGCATTGAAAGCAGGGCTGATGTGTGTGATGTTTTACAGGGTTATCAATTTGACGAAGAACAGTCAACTCTACGTTCGACAGGGCGATGTGGAACGGCTGATTGCACAAGGGTTCCTGGAGCGACTGAGTTGATTGGAACCAGACGATGATGAAAGACTAGCGGTTTTGACGATTTGATGATACCCATTGTATATACGGTGCATTGAACTTTCTAAGGATTGTCGTATAGTTTGTAGAGGTATTCCCATATGCGGAGTACGGGGCTTTCAATATGGTTCCGTGATTTGAATGGGTCATGCAGTAAACCATTTTAACCAGTTGACATTAAAACCACGGCCGCTGTCATATCAAGTAGCTGATGGTAGCTTCTTACTACGTAAACAAGTACTGCAATTGATCCGCTGGTATGTCCAAAGAAGCAAAGACAGACTAAGCTTGCATTGCATATTCCGTCCTCATGCATTGATCAACCACGGCGATCATACTACATCATCAATCGATTTCAAATTGTTTCTGCCCAACCTTCAAGTTCCAACTCAGGAGGCGATTACTCAATAATAATAACGACTTTATCCGTGCGGTGATCAATTCCAGGAACTACTCATAGTTCCTGATCCACAATTGCTAGAATGCGGTAAAGCGCCTCCAGCGGAGTATGATGATAACAGCCGGTGATAAAGAACTTTTTTAGTCAACTCACGGACCACGATTGATAACGCGGGCAGCTTCCGGCCTTGGAGGTTTAATATGGAATAACTCCTCCCAATGACACTGGTCACCTTCCGTCATACTCACTTCCTCATGCATCGGGTTTTTGAAGACCTCCTCCTCCCAGTTGTTTGGTAATCAAAACACGATTGCTCCTTGTGCCTTGATTCTTGCGTCATTCGGGTTCCCACCCATTCGCTCGTCTGCGGCCGTTGGGGTGCGGCACGCAAATCGAGAAAGGAGCCTAGGCTTCTCGCCGTCAATTTATCCCGTCATTTTTCATTCTTATAGACGAATTGTCTGTGGCTCAGGCAGTAACGGTTCGGGTTCGCGATGGGCGTCATCGGACGTCGAGATCGTAGTGATTCTCGTGCGTCAGGATTCTTGCCCCGTCGCCCATCTTTGGTCGACACTCCTGTTCCAAATGTGACAGAAATACCGATCGAGCGGGCCAATCATGGCAGTAATCCAGACACTTCAGGACTCGAGCCTTCGATTCACGGCGGGTCGAGCTTCAGAACTCCGACTCGGTCATTCTACCATCGGTCCTTCAAAGGTCCCCAGGGTACGATACAGGAAATTCTGTGAGGGGTTCGATGTCCTAACTGGCTGTCTAGATCCGGCACACTATTCATCGGAGGGTCTGAGAGAACAAACAGCCGAATTAGCATCGTTTGCGCTATCGCTTCCTCACGAACGGAGCTCTCTTTCGCGAAGCCTGGATATCTTTCAATCGAAACAACAGACTGATGTCGCTGCACCCTCGTCAAGCTACGACAGCACTGCAGGGGATCTGACTATTGTTGAACCGGAACCGATCCACGCTCCTGCTACCGGCTCCTCGGTATTGACTCAGATGATTCGCAGTCCTCCCTCTGAATCGGTCGGGGACGACACCGACCACTACGGAGGTAAGCTGTGCCCAAAAGACGCGGCTGGTGTGGAAAACCCAAGGCCCTTGTTTAATGATGGCGAAGAAGAAAACACAAGTACTGAACGGACATCGTTGCTGAATAAGACGGCGCAATCTAAACCATTCCATGGATATGGGGTTGCAGACGATATTGAAAGCCAGGACTTACTGAGAGAGCGCGAGCAGGGCGGACAGCCTCACGCTCTAGCAACGATCAGAAGCTGTCTTCGTCTGATAGCAAGCCCAAAGTCTTGGGATGGGAGAGCAGTATGGCAGCACGGGGTGGTTTATCCCGCCAGCCTGCTACCTTCTGTGTTCCTCGGGCTACTGCTGAATATCCTCGATGCGCTCTCCTACGGAATGATCCTGTTTCCGCTTGGAGAGCCTATCTTCTCTGATCTGGGGTCAGACGGAATCTCGATGTTTTATGTCAGCACAGTCATTGCTCAGCTGGTCTTCTCATGCGGAGGGTCAATCTTCCGTGGCGGTATCGGGAGTGAAATGATCGAGGTTGTTCCATTCTTTCACAAGATGGCCATGACAATTCTAGTTCGGGTTGGCGAGGACAATCCGAAATCTGTCCTCGCCACAACCATTCTCGCATTCTCCGCCAGTTCTGTTCTTACGGGACTTGTCTTTTTCCTGATGGGGACGTGCAAGCTTGGTTCTCTCATCGGGTTCTTCCCGCGTCATATTTTGATTGGATGCATTGGCGGTGTAGGATTCTTTCTGATGCAGACCGGTGTCGAGGTATCTGCTCGACTATCCGGGTCTCTCGAACTTAACGGACCAACCTTGCAGAAGCTTTTTCATATGGATACATTTCTGCTTTGGATGATACCCTTGTTGCTTGCTATTGCTTTTCTTGTTTTGAAGCGCTTTGTGCGGTCCAATTTCCTAGTCGGTGGTTATTTCATTGCGGTAGGCGTGGTTTTTTACATCGTCAAATTCAGCGCGAGAGTATCTATGGATACCTTGCGTAGCAGAGGATGGGTCTTTGACGCTCCGTCGTCTTCCAACCCTTGGTATCACTTTTATACGCTCTATGGTGGGTACCTTCAGGCTATTCCAATCAAGCATGAATTGACTTACTTCAGATTTTTCGGCCGTCGACTGGTCCGCATTCGTTGATACGATTCCAGCGATGTTCGCATTGACGTTCTTCGGAGTCCTTCACGTCCCAATCAATGTACCGGCACTGGGTATATCGACTGGGGAGGACAATCTCAGTGTTGATCGTGAGCTCATCGCTCATGGCGTTACTAATGCACTGTCAGGTTTCGCGGGAAGCATACAGGTATGGTTGAGCAATTCAAGGGACATCATTCATTTCACATACTCATGCAGCTCTAGAACTACCTTGTATACACTAATAGTCTTCTTTTCATCGCTAGCGGTGGCAATTCTCGACTGGCAGGTATCATGCTTGCCTTTGCTACAATGGGTATTCTTGTCGTTGGTCCGGTGATTATTGGATTTATTCCCGTCATGGTTGTTGGAGCTCTCATCTTCATGCTGGGCATTGAGCTGATGGAAGAAGCTTTGGTCGACACGTGGGGGAAATTGCACCGACTAGAATACTTGACAGTAAGTAAGTCCTATCTCATCAAGGAGCCGCCTTCTGATTCGTACAGGTCGTCATTATCGTCGTCACCATGGGTGCTTGGGACTTTGTGGTTGGCATTTTTGTCGGAATCATCTTGGCATGCGTGAGTTTTGTGGTGCAAACCTCGCGCAAGTCAGCCATCAGGGCTACATTTTCTGGCAAGATTACAGGCTCAACTGTCAGGAGACCTCCCATCCAGCAGCGATTCTTAAAAGAGGCCGGGCAGCAGACACTCATCATCAAGCTTGCTGGCTATCTATTCTTTGGGACGATAGTCAGCGTTGAAAGTACCATGCGGGGACTCATTGAAGAGGAAGCTTTCGACAGACGACCCATCCGGTTCCTCATCCTGGATTTCTCGCGAGTGTACGGGCTGGACTTTTCCGCGGCAGAAGCGTTCACGCGTATAAACCGGATTCTCCGAAGACGCAATGTGCAGATGACTATATCCGGGCTTGATATGACGAGTGAAGTGGGCAAGAGTCTTCAGAACGTTGGGCTTCTTGCAAGCGAGACCGGCGTTGAGATTTTCAAAGACCTCAATTCGGCTCTTGAATTTTGCGAGAACGATTACCTCAAGGTCTTTTACAACCATCGCGAGGCATTGATACGGAAGAAGAGCGGATCGTCGCCTTATCTTGAAGTTCCTGTGTCCCAGAATCAATTGCAGGCCGCTGAAGGAATTGTTGGCTCTCCCCGCCGGCTGTACCTCCAGCAAGCTGCAACGACTACTCTGCGTGAGGAGGAGACGGCAGCAATGGCTTCGGTTGCCTGGTCGGCGATGCGACAGCCGCTCCCTTTGCTCCTGCAGACCTTCCAGGGGCTCACCACCAAGAACGAGGATTTTTGGTTCAGGGCATGCCCATATTTTGATCGAGTCTGCTATGCTGCAGGTACCGTGCTGTTCCAAGAGGGCGACTTACCTGAAGGGTTTTACCTCCTCGAGTCTGGCATGCTCCGAGCTGAATATGAGCTACCTCAAGGCCATTATTTCGAACTGATCGTGGCGGGACGGCCGTGTGGCGAGCTGCCGTTTTTCAGCGAAACCCGACGGACTGCGACGGTCAAGGCGGAACAGGACTGCGTGACCTGGTGTCTGAATGCCGAAAAATGGAAGCAGTTGAAGGAAGAAGAGCCCGAGATCGCGCAGGAATTGTTGACAGTGAGCTTGAAATTGACGAGTGAGAGAATGGACAGCATCACATCGTAAGCACCTACTTTCTAACATGCCTGCTAACAATAACTAATCGAATATGTTTAGGTATGTTTTGACGATGGCGGCTTGATCACCATACTTTTTGACATATAAGGTGTTATTGGATGAAGCAATTGAGCGTTGCATATCTCGGCGGTCATCCGAGACTTTGAATACACGCATTAGCTTATTTCATGTATAATGGGATTCCTGGCTCTGTAGATAATGTGATTCTGCTTGAAGACTGAACTCTAAAGACCATAGACATGTATTGCCATGAATGAATAGACTAGACGGATGCATGCTTGACGCCTTTTGATGCCATCATTGCCGTCATATCCCGTATTCTGATGCAAGATGATGCGATGCATGGCAAGATCGCATGACTGAGGGGTAGGTTAGGTCCTGCGTATGTAGGTAGTCTTCTCTACGTATTTGATTGCTGCATCTAGCACACTGGCGTCTACATATACTCAGACGTACAGAGCTCCTACTCTTCTATCCCTAATCTGCAATTCAGGATAGACTGCCTGCACCATAGATACGGAGGTCGGCGACAACTGGTCAAAACCTGCTAAGTGCTAACAGGACAAGCAGCGATCATCAGATGTGCAGGATCGACATTGGACAGTAGTGGCATGATTGGCCCGTCGCCTGGTCGGAGATTGTGACTGGTAGATAGCTGGTAGCTGGTGACTCCCCAGCGACAAGAGAAAACGGTTCGAAACGGCCAAGAGCGCGTAGATCTTGATTGTCCTCTCACCGGCTCTGGTCCCAGTCTCACCCCGTAACTCCCAAGGTAGTTATTAAATATCTGTACTCGTATTCAGTGACTCAAGTCTCGACGTCACAGCCAAGCGTTGACCGGTACGCCATCGGAAAATGCAGGGTCATGCTAATATAGGGCTGGCCTCGTCGCGTAAGGTAGGTAGGTACCTTAGGTACCTACCTTTAAGCGAGCGATGCGACTTGGAATGTGATAGGTTGCCTACTTGCGACTTGAGAGAGAGCGGGTTACGCAGTGGGGCTCTTTTTGCCTGACACAGACTATCATAGTACAGTACTTAAGACTAAGGTCGGTATTGGAAAGCAACTAAATTTCCTGTTTCGGGCAGCTGGTCTATAAACCTGGAGCTAGGGCTATTGAAATTTTCGTTTTCGCTTTACTTGGTTCCTGATCCACTCCCCCTTTTTATTTTCCATGCAAAAGCGACGAAGATTAGGTACTTCACCACGTTGGGCTCTCATTGGTATTTATGACAGGCACGATTTCAACTGCTAATGTAGACAAGGTAAATGGAATAGCATGTGCATCCATACGCGACATGGGATGGATCATGGAGGGTGTCAACGTGTTGTGGTTGGTCGCAGCGGGAGTCACGGGGCTGCAGGCGCGTGGACTCTCCCTCAAGTCAGCAACCTATTTTCACCTCTCGCACCTCTCAAAGGTAGGCTAGATAGATAATGATTGGAAGGCCCAGATAACTAGAATGTTCCAAAATGCGCGGTGCGACGACAAACCAAGACGCTGCTTCTGATTTGTAGAGTCAGAATACAAGGTGGCGGCGGGTTTCAATTCCAATCGCCTCCTTGAATCGGAAATAATGCAGAGTGTAGGTTCCCTGGCGAAAATGCAGAGCGTTTGAGGTGGATCCCGCAAGGACAGGGTGAGAGTCGGTGGGTGTGGTGTGTCAGCCTGGCAGGGGGGTGCTACTTCTGGTAGTTGGCTTGCTGTTTGTCGCAAGGATTTGGATCAAATGAAGTGTTTAATAGAGAGTACGGAGGACGGAGTAGTCAAACTGTTATTCTTGTCTGTTTACCACTCTATACCTTTGTATATTTCTCTATGCTGAGGATGTCTTGATAATTCATAGATGTTGGAAGAGTTATCTGTCCTACCAGACCATATGATCATGTAGTTAGCGTCTCTCAATTCTGAGGACGATCTGAAAGAAGACCCATGGATCAAAAGGATCCAGCGGTGGCTGGCGTCCCACAAACAGATGAGCGACGGTTGACGGGCCAGGTGACATGATTGTTGATCGCATCAATCTGCCACACAAAGACTTGTTCTTGATGCCATCGACATTGCTATTGGGGCTCAATTTTGTGGGATCAACAACACCTTTGGTACGGTACCTATGAGCCATGTACTTACTCACACCCCCCAGTCGCGAGTTGAAGGATTTTTGCATCATCATAATTCACAGAACACCGCTAAATGACACTAAAACCGACCAAAATTAAGTTGGAATCGGGCCAAAAATTTAGGGACAGTAAGTGGGTTAGTTCGGAATGGGTCCGCCCAAGCAAGGCCTAGTTGCTCCGTAGGCAGTCTAGAGCCGTTTAATATCGACCTATCTATCTGCACGACCGGTAGGGGAGCTCCTTGAGATTTTCCTTGAGTTGATCACGAAGCTATCCACATACGTAGTCGGAAAGCGACCTTAGTAATTAGTCTGAAGGACTAGCTGTCATAGTGTGCTCCTTAGCATCTTAACTACACCACTGTTTCATTATTCCTCCTTTTTTGACTTTATTAGCAGAGGATCATGGCGCCGAAAAGGAGGTACGTAGTAGAAAGATGAAAAGATAACCAAGAAGAATTTTCACGAGTACGGAGTACCCTAGCCAAACAAATTACCTTCCATCATGGATTGCCCTTGGGTTGGTCAAAAGTCTTGCGCACCTGCAGCGCATCCAAAACATACAATAAAGCTTCCGGAAAGGTTAAACAACCCAGTCACGGGTCCCTTGTTAAGGATAGGTAAGACCATCCATCTTTGATAATTATCTAGAGATTTCTACTCCTGAGCACCGCAGCTGGAGCTCTGATGGGCCCAACTAGAGAAGGGTATACGAGCAGATGGAGCCACCCCTAAGTGTACCAAAGTATTCAGGTATCAACTGCTCCCCAATCCCAAGACAAACATGAAAAATTTCACCCAAAGGACTGCTTTGTAGTACCATAGTAACCAAATTAACCAATAAACCATGTCTATCATTATCGTCCTTCTTCTCTGGCTAGACCAAGTCAGGCCATAGTGAGGAGGACCGCCCTGCAGCTCATTGCCCTTCTGGGCTGATGCACCATCAACCAAGGCTGCATCCACTCACCCCCCTCCTTTACCCCCTTCATCTTTCTTTTTTTTTCTCTCCTTCCTCTCCCTCCCTCTCTTTCCTTTCTTCTCTTCTTCTCCTCTCCATTCCATTCCTGATAACTAAGCTATCACGCTTTTGTTCGTTTTCCACGAACCGTTCTACCCATTCTTCCCTTGTGATACCCGAGCTATTCTTTGCCTTGTGCTGAGAGAGCTCCTGTTTCCTTTCTTTTGAGATACCCCCCTTGAGATACCCATACTCGCCCTTGATACCCGAAGCGCTTACAGCTTCTCTAACGGCTACTTAATCAAATTCCCTACCATAATAACTTTTTAATCAACCATCATCACCATGTCGGAAGTCCAGAAGCCTGTTGAGGAGACCCCCGTGGCCGTCCCTGCCGCCGAGCCTGTCGTCGAAGCTCCTGCTGCCACTGAGGCCGCTGCTGCTGAGGCTCCCGCTGCTGAGGCTCCCAAGGAAACTCCCGTTGAGAACGGTGTGGCCACTCCCGCTGCGGCTGAGACCACCGAAGCAACTGCCGAGCAGCCCAAGGAGGAGGCCAAGGAGGAAATCACTCCTGCGACTGAAGGTGTGCTTGGACACAAGGGTCCTGGTCTGGTGAAGTAAGCGCTACTTGCGAGCCTTGAGACGGCATGGAGCAATGCTGACTGGTTCCTTTTTGGTTAATAGGGGTCTGCGTTTCTCCAAGCGATTCTTCTACTTCAGCAACGAGCCCGTCGAGGCCAAGCAGCTGTCCGTCTTCCAGCAGAACGAGAAGCCTGCTGTCGCCAATCCCATTGTCGCTTGGGCTACCCAGACCGGCAAGGGTCTCCTGTTCCTGACCAAGCGCGCCGAGGACAAGGCTACCCCTGCTGGTATCTTCAACTTGGTACTTTTTTTCCTTTTTTTTTGAGACTTGGCGTGGTTATTCATACTAATACGTCTTAGGCCGAGGTCTCCGACCTTGCCAAGGAGGGCGCCAACGAATTCCTCTTCAAGGTTAACGGGCAGAAGCACACTTTCCAGGCTGCTAACGCTGCTGAGCGTGACAGCTGGTTTGTTGCTCTGGAAGCCAAGGCCGCTGAGGCCAAGGCTGAAAAGGAGACCATCGTTGCCAGCGAGGGCTACAAGGCTGAGCTCGAGAAGCTGAGTAAGTGATATTGGATCGAGTGCTAAATACGGATTAATTCTAATTATCTTGCAGCCAAGCCTGTTGTTGCTGAGCCCATCAAGAAGCCCGTTGAGGCTAAGGAGGAGGCCAAGAAGGAAGAGGCTGCTCCTGTTGAGGAGACCAAGGAGACCACCGAGGCCAAGGACAAGGCCAAGAGCCGCTCTCAGTCTCGCAAGAGGGCCAGCATCTTCGGCTCCTTCCTCGGTAAGAAGGAGGAGACTGAGGAGAAGAAGGAAGAGAAGACCGAGGACGCCAAGCCCGTCGAAGCCGCCGCTGAGCCTGTCGCCGAGACATCCGCTACTGCTGAAGCTACTGAGGGTAAGTTTCATCAATATTTAGAATCTGTCCCGAAGCCTAAAGCTGACTGTCATTAAGCTGCCGCTCCTGCTCCTGTCGAAGAGAAGAAGGAGGAGACCGAGGCAAAGAAGGAGGAGAAGAAGGCTGAGAGCCCTGCTCCCAAGTCCAAGCGTACCTCTCTGTTCGGTAACTTCTTCCAGAAGGTTACCAGCCCTTCCCACGAGAAGTCCGAGAAGGAGGCTGCGGCTCCTGCTGAGACCTCTGCTGTCTCCAGCACTGCCCCCCAGCTCGAGAACCCCGTCGAGGAGGCTGCCGTGAAGCCCATCGAGCCTGAGACCGTGACCACCGCCGCCGCTGCCACCGAGGCCGAGGCCCCCAAGGAGACTGCCGCTCAGTCCCCCACTGCCGAGACTCCTGCCGGCAAGGACAAGCGTCGCACCTCTTTCTTCGGTAACTTCGGCAAGAAGAAGGGCGACTCTGACAATGAGGGCACCGACGGCGAGGCCAAGGCCAAGGGCAACAAGCTCGGCGGTCTTTTCCGCAAGCCCAGCAAGGCCGTGAAGCTCGACAACAAGGAAGCCTCTGCCAAGGAGGAGGACAAGGCCGAGCCCACCGCTCAGGAGACTTCCGCTGCGGCTGCTCCCGCCGAGGAAGCCAGCAAGCCCGCTGAGGCTCCCGCCACCGAGGAGGCCAAGCCTGCGACTGTCGCTGCTACCACGACTCCCGTCCAGGCTGCAGCATGAAGTGCTCATTCTGAGAGGCGTGCCGTCGAGTTTGAGAAATGGTGGGATCAACGTTATGTGTCTCCCAACGCCTCTGCATGCTGTTGAATCATTACCATGACGGAAAACGAAAACGCAAAAGTGTTGAGAGAAAAACCATGAACAAAAAAAAACATATATGTCGATCTGGATCCGGTCTGCCATTTTTTTGCTGTCTTCGAATCGCTCTATATCGTTTCCGCAGGCACTCCTTAGCCAAGTCCAACGAGAATTTGGTGCAAGGAATGTCAATGATACCCACATGCTGCTTTGGCGGTCATTTCTCACTGTATCGACGTCACCGGTGCATTTCGTTCCTTAATGATATCCATTCGCGCAGGTTTCTCCCAACCGAGGCTTGCGTGTGTTCATGTTTTGCGCCGTGCAACTAGATTGATACCACTTGCTGTCTTGCTTTGATGTTGTTGGTTGATCTACGATCACTAGTCTGATATTTTGTGTTGATACCCGAAGGGGAGGACTGGATTTGGTGGCTTCAACTCAAATCGAGCCCGATTGTTGACTGTTTGCTTGGAGCGTGTACGCCATGTATACTTGCGCACCGCATCATAGTAATAATTAATAGAATTGATAATGCTTTTGTATGATTTTGGCAGGCTTTTGTAGACTTTGGTCTTAACGAATCCAATCCGAATCTGAATGTGAGAAGCAGCATATGGATCCAAGGTGCTCCGAAGCCTGCTTCCCAAACGTCAAACCAGGCAGACTAAGTTTTTCTGTCTATGGGGCTCAATTGTGGGCCAAGGCGCCATGGATGGCGTAGAGAACATTCCGTTCTTTTTCAGGGAGTCGAGGCTTGAGGGTTCAAACTCAATTGTACGGAGTAGTTTCGATAGTCTAGTCTCCTGACCGTGCGCCTTGGAAATGACATCACTGAAGCAGCGCCTTTTATTGATTATTAACATATATGCGGATTCATACAACCTCCTGTTTCCAAAGCCAGGTGACAACGAAAACGGTCAAGCGAACAAAATATTGGCGAGTGTTGCCGACATCTACGGCGATTCCCGGTAGGGAGAATCCGTAGGTCTGTTCGTGCATGGGTCGTGGGCTGCAGAAGTGGATTTCCGCCAGGTGCAGAATGTGGACATTGGACGCGATTGACCCGAGGGTTATTCTAGACTGTTTGGCATCGCAGCCTTCGCCTAGTGAGAATCTGACCCTCCTTGATGAAAGGGTTTGTACTCTGCAGGAGCTTGTTAATCGTTACAGAGTAGGGATATGTATGGTACTTTCTCAAGGCTAGAAAGTTGGTAGGAGTATATATAAGGTGCAGACAACTGCCCTCTGTTCAGACTGTCTGTCGAGCCACTTGTCCTTTGAGAATGCCTGGAAAAATACTTCCTTCTGAAAAAGATTGTGCGAGCTGATAGAGTTTGGACTTCGGAGATAGTAAAACGAAGTCCACGCCCTTTGGTGACACCAACGCCCAAATAGGCAATGGGCGGGGAGAGAAAAAGGAAAGTGATATGAGTGGAATAACCCGCCCGATCCCTGGTTTTCCGGTTTTTCTTTTTTTTTTTTTTTTTTTTTTTTTTGGGTCTTTTTCCCTCAGCTCCCTTATTAATCCATTTTATTGTGGAATGTTCTCATTGGTTTATCTGGCGATGGCGTGCTGAGACATGAGGCTCCCAGGCCACCAGGCTGCCAGACATGAGCACTCAGCCCCCTCCCCGTCCCTTGTGACTTGGACTGCATATGCCCGTCTGGAGTGTGGAGTAGATAGGTGTCTGGGTCCGTGGCTAGGATGAAATTGGCTTTATATGACGGGACACGAAGCTACTGGCTTGCGTGGATTCACCCAATGTGATATTAATGAGACAGTCCAGGGAGGCTGTGATGAAACCAGCTTTCTTAGTGCTGTTGTGGAATTGATGCCTGGATTCTGGATGCGATGCTGCGCCGCGTTATTGGTCAATGGGTCGTGAAGAGGACCTCTTTCCTGGTACCGAGTACGCGGCGGAGTAGGGATGGTGCTCCGTATTAGGGAATCCAGATCATGGAAGCGTCATTCCAGGCCCGTCAATTGTCAATGATGGATTTCAGTGATACTGATCCTCTTCGTACGTAAGATAAGGTAGATATCTGTTCGAGGATCTCAAAAATGGTATGTCAATTGAATTTAATTGAAGGCATCTTAATGCTGCACCCTGCTCGACAGGTACGTACCAGAAAAGTACCTACCGACCGTGCACAGGAATGCCGCCCTGGGGCGTGTTCCCGCGGGCCCGACGGACCAATCATCGCGGCACATGGTCCTATGACTCACACCTGCTGACTGCGTCCAGGAGCGCTATCCAGACACGGTTAGTGCAGGAAGTGGGACATTATTGCGCTGCCATTGGCTGCCGGCGGGAACGCACGGCGCACACAGACAGGTTAAACTAGCACACTCGAGGGTTTTAAGAAGTGCCTGATTTCCCGTCGCTGCCTGGCGCTTTTCCTTTCCCTTTTCCTTTTCTCCTCCATCTTTTCTTTCTCTGAAACCATCATCACCTATAATTTTTTAACATCTTCACCATACAACCACACAATTATCAAGAAGATCAGTCTCAGTATCCATTGCAAAATGGCTGCCTTTTAAGCTCCTCCCCCAGAACGAGCTCGTCTTTCTCTCGTGAGACAGACACCATAGATCCTTTACGGTCTTCGTCACTTTCCAACATCTCCTCTCAACCTTTCTCAGAGTCTCCTGTCCCAGGACCTCTGAACTTAAGCATCGCTTCGCGTAGCTCAAGTTCTACTTTGAACAACATTCTCCCGTTCGACGTCACGTCGTTCACCACGGATAACCATCAGCAAACATGGCTCCCCACGCCCCCGCCCCAGCAGCCTTCGGCTCAGAATCTGAATTCGAATTCCAACAACGACAGCAACAGTTCCCCGCAGGAGGACTTCGTGCTCTATCCCGCCCCGTGTCCGCAGCCTCGTTTGAGAGACTCGCGTGCGCCAGTACTTCCGAGTACAGCCCCTAGATCCGTTTCATACAATCCTTTCCTGGTCCGACCTCAGTACCAGCAGCCCAGACGGCACTCGCTCAGTCTGTATCAGCAACTTCAGCAACAGAAACTTTCGGGTTCACCTGTCCAGGTTCCTCGTGTGACCAGGCTTCACTCACAGTCTACCGGGTATTCTCTGTCCTCGTCTCTTCGGTCTAGTCCCTCCAGCCGGACGCACTTTCAGCGTGTCCACGCCGCGTCTGCGCCTTCGAATTCACCAAATCCCAATCGTCCCCCTGTTCCATTGTTTTCAGCAGCCAACGGCACTCAATTCAGTCAAAAACAGCTACAGCAATTACATCAGTTTTATCACCGCCGCATCATGTCGACCCCCAACATCGCTCAAGGTGAGCTGATAGAAATTATATCCGCTTCAGCTTTGTCTAATTCCGCAGCAGATATGCCTGACTTCTTCGGTCTGCCCTCGAATGACTTTGGGGATGATTTCGAGTTGAGCACTGAACCCACCATGCTTTCTCCCAATCAGATCCCCACTGGCCTCATGGCCGTCAAGGACTCTGTGGCAGGTGCCCCTTCGGGCACCATCTCGCCCAAGGACTTGTTCATGGATGCGTCGGCACCTCCGTCGACCTCATTCACTGATCTCAGCACTCCTTCCTTTGAGTCTCCCGGCTATTTCAGCCAGGACACTTCGCCCATGTTCCCCACCGATCTGGAGCTGGGCCCTGGCTCCGAGGAGTGGGGTCCGCTCTTCCCTGCTCAAGATGACTTCTCGGCCTTCGACTCCGCCGCCTTGGATGTTGCACTCGCTCTCTCCCAGCCCGAGACTAAGCCCGCAAAGGAGGTCTCTGTTCCTCCGTCTCCTGCGATTCGCAACTCTGCTTCGCCCGCTCCTTCTCCTGCGCCAAGCAAGTCCGGTGTTAAGCACTCCACCGTCGCCGGTGTCAATGCTCGTCAACGCAAGCCATTACCCCCTATCAAGGTTGACCCCAGCGACCCTGTCGCGTTGAAGCGTGCTCGCAATACCGAGGCTGCTCGTAAGTCTCGTGCTCGCAAGCTTGAACGCCAGGATGAGATGGAGCGACGCATCCGTGAGCTCGAGAAGTCTCTGGAAGAAGCTCAGCAGCGTGAACAGTACTGGAAGGCCCTTGCCCAGAATAGGGGTTGAACGATGATCGATAGGTTATCTTGATGACATGCTGCGTTTGTGATATCTTGTTTGTTTCTTTGTTTGCTGTTTTTCTCTTCGTCGGCTTCTAAAATTTGGGACGTGCAAAATGGGATCTGTGGTGGCGGGGGCTCGAGCCCCTCGTCAACCGAATGCCAGAAGTACCAGTCAGTCTCCGCAGGATGGTTACCTGACGATGACGCTTCTGGCAGGATAAAAGTTTTCTTTACTTGATGCCTTCAATGGTGGGCAATTGAAACACCATCTTGTTTCTATCATTTCGGGTACTCTTCGCCTGGCTTGTTTCTTGCAGACATCCTAGTCCTCATCTAGGGTGCTGTTTCTGTTTCTTTATGTTTCTTTTACTTGATGGTCGGTTCTGATGTCTCCTGTCAACCAGGATTGACTCGTGGCCAATTAATACTTTTCCCGCTATTGCCCTGTCAGTCGCTCAATTCTATGGATGCGAGTTTTGTTGACGTGGCTTTCTGTTTCAACATGTCCTGCGTCTTAACCAGAGACTGTCTTTATACTAAGTTGAATTCAACTATGTCGCTCTCTACTTTTTTTTCTCAGCGTAGCTCTATCCCGCTCGTAGCAGATCACCATCTTCAGCGTGCAAGCATCTTCGCCAACGCTACACCGTGAAGCGTACCAATACCGAAGTGGCTGAATTTACTGCCTGTGAATTACAGAGATCTTCTTGAACTACGGAGATGGATCATTATGATTAATCCTGCTCGACTCAGCTCAGACTTGCCTTTTTAACCGTCATCGACTCAACCTCTTGATTCTCGGAAACCTGCCATCGCCGCATCATCCATACCCTGATATACCACCAGGAACACAGTGACATCAATACCCGGTCTTCCAATCTCGTTTCTCATAAACACGCCCAACCGATATACACTCCAGCCCACAGCGGGAGGACTTATCTCAGAATGAGTGGCTTGCGATGAAACGAGCGGTCGAGAGGGAGTGTCTGCTCTATATGGTGGATTGCACGACAAGGGGATGATGGGCAATGAGAGGGTGAGAGAAAGGGACAGCAGAGGCCGGTCTCAGAAGTATCTGATCAGTGTTTTGTCATCACAGCTGGTCATGTCATGCGCAGGGATTACAGGTGGTTGGTAAATGGTGTAGTCGAGGACAGGAGTGTTGTATTCAGCTCAGTGCATCGGTTCCTTTGGTTCTACCCTTTTCCATCTTTGCTGTCCTCGAGCCGAATTGGATTGCTCGTTTCTTTTCCCGAGCGACGGTAGCCATGCCCAGCTTGACGGCCAGGAGGCGGAGCGCTCTCTTCTCTGGGTCGATGCCGGTATAATCCACACCGGCGGTTTCTGATGGGTCTGGGACGCCGAAGCCACATTTCTCCCATACGGGAGCTTCGAGCACGTAAGAGACGAAGTCTTCGTCTAAGAACGGGTATCGCGCCTCGCGACCCCAGTTTGAAAGGATCCGATCATCGCGGCCGAGATTCCGCTTGCCGAGACGACTGACGTCCAGATGGATCTCGTCGATGAGACCTCTGAAACCGTCGCGGGCGAACGCTACTCCGTGTCGCGCATAGCCCGCGAACAGTTCGTCTGCTCCCAGGCCGGAGAGAAGTACTCTCGCTGGGCTGGTGTACTGAGTCGGGTCGGACGAGGAATCTTGACTATTGACGGCCATGCCTCGCGCGCGAGAAGCGAAGTACAGCGCGCACGCGATAGAGAGGTCCATCTCTGTATTGTGAGGCCTCATCAAGCGCTTCACCATATCACGGTGTGCGACAGTCTCAGTGTAGGGTATATCTATCGCGACGAAGCGCCAGTTGCGCTCTGGGCAGACTCTCTGAAGTTCTGCGAATGCCGCGCGACCCGTAATGCGATCTGGACAGCTTTCGTAGACTGATGATGTGGCGCCTTCCTTGCCGGCAGCTGCGGCAGCGACTCGCGGGTTCTCGAAAGCAACGTTGAGAAGATCAATTGTCTCATTTTGGGGAAGAATGTCATGGGACAGTTTGGCAAGTAGAGTGCAATCAAGGCCACCAGAGAACAAAACGGCGACTTTCACATCACTTATAGTAATGGATGGTGGTTCGGGCACCTTTTGAATTCTCAGGTGTAACGATTGACGAAGCCTCCGCTCAAGCTCTTGGATGGCACAAGAGTCGATTGTCAATGACGGGGGCGTCTCATTCGGGACAGATTTGTTCATGTGTGGTATTGGACTTTTCTGTCCGTTCTGTCAGCGATTGCGTTGATCGAGGAGAAAGCGTGTATACCAGGCAGCTGGCATTTGCATCTTTGGGCCCCCAGCGAAGAGTTTGGATGGCGTCACGATTGAATTTGACGGCACCTGATGCAAGAGCATTCTGCAGCACGACTTGTTTAAAGTCGATGAAATGCACTCCATCTGTGTCAACTTCCTCAAAATGCGACGAGGATGAACTATCGCAGACACTGCAAATTCTCAGATTTCCAGATTCATCTAGACCCTGCAACAAGGACCGTCGTCCAAGGCAGTCCCTACTGAAATATAGCCTTGAGTTCACTGCATCATAGAAAACAAAGGAAAAGGGACCTGTAATGTCACTTATGACACCCACTAGTTTCTGTGTGGGATATCCATGATCAACAGCGTCCAACGGCGAATGGCTAGCACGCAGGAACGACTGGAAGATGGACTCAGTATCATTATCTTGGATAGGTTCGCCAGCTATCTTCCAGGCCTCGCCATTCCAGCAGAGCACGGATTGCGTAGACGAATCCACGAGTGGTTGAGCGTAGACATGATCTCCTCTCAATGAAAGCACCGTGGAGATGAATGTGAGAGTGACGGTCACCCTTGTCTGGTCCGTATGACTCAAAGACAATTCCTGTTGTCTTGTATGGACTTGGTAGCTGTCGGGTCCCCGGTTGCGCAGTAGATTGCAAGTCTCCTCATTTGGGAGCACTGACCCATTAGTGCTCAATGAGAAATAAATGCCGCACATTGCAGCACTGTGGCTGCAAATACACTATAGCAACAAATTCTGGTTCCGGCGACCAGGAGGCAAAAGAAGATAGATTGAAGAAAGTCAACCTCGGTGTTATGTTTCCTCAGTGGCCGGATCTCGGGGCAACGATGATCCACATAGCTTCGTGACGGGTGGTGATAACCAAATACTCCACGCTGCCTAACATGGGTCCGATCGACGTTGTTTCATGCCCGGTCCTAGGTTAAATAAACATTTGCTTCATTGAAATATCCCATTGTTGTTTGAATGGTTTTTTCCTGCTGCTTTTAAGCTCGACCGCTGTGTGCTTGATATTCCTCATAATGATCCGTTACCTCGTCTGAATCTCCCTCCTTCCCCACCGAGTGACCGAGCTTCTACATTGATTGCTGGCGTGCATGCAGATTGCTTATGTCTGAACAAGCGATTTCCACGACCCCGGCTCCGGATGGACGACCGGATTCTCAGTGGGATATTCATGACGATCAAATAAAATCGAATCAACAGCAAGCGACATTGTCAGCTACCGTATTATCGGTGTCTGCGCATAATGACCCCTCAGCAACACACGAAGCTCCACATCAGGGCAACCAGTTAGGGGAGAGGAAGGAGATTCCTCAAGATGAATCTCCAACTTCTACGTTTGACTCGCCAAATATGACATCGGAGAAAGTCGCTCCAGATTCCTCAAAATCTACATCCGAACCCCAGGGGACGTTGTCAGCGCGTATGAAAGGATTGTCGGTCTCGACGAATACAACAGAAACCGGTTCATTAGTAGACAGCGATGTGCCCCCGCCTCCCCCAGAAAAAGACGAATCCTATCTTAGTACGAAATCCCAGCTTGCACCGCCCCTGCAGACGTCCGTGAATGCGACTTCTGAATTGAGCGAGAAAGAGCTACCGGATGTACCGGGTCACGGACAGAAGGAATATAAACCGGACGCTGGCATGGATGGTGCTCGAGAGGATGACTCTGAATCCGAGATTCAGAGCATCATGGGTCAGTTTCAGGACCCTGAACGCAGGGGCAGCCAGGAGCAGTTGATGTCTCCTCGTTTGGAGCTGGCTGAGCAATTCCTTGGAGGCCAGGGTCATTTCCCGCCGCGTCATTCGAGTCTTTCAAAGTCAGCAGAGGGGGGCCCTCAGGCAGCACAGGTGAATGCAGGGACACCATCTTCGGCTGTCGAGAAGCCACCGGCTCCTATTTCGAAGAGCGCTCATAGAGCTTCCGAAGATCATACAGCACTGACTCGACGATCTTCTACGTCGACTGTTCCTCCGCCTCCGCCAGAACCTGAGCCCGATCAACCGTTCGATTTTCATCGTTTTCTGGAGCAGCTCAGGCACCGCACTGCAGATCCTGTGGCCAAGTTTCTCCGCTCATTCCTTAATGAGTTTGGCAAAAGACAGTGGATGGTACATGAGCAAGTGAAGATCATTAGCGACTTCTTGACCTTCATCACCAATAAGATGGCCATGTGCGAGGTTTGGAGGGACGTTTCCGACAGCGAATTCGATAACGCGAAAGAGGGTATGGAGAAGCTAGTCATGAATCGATTGTATTCGCAAACCTTCTCCCCTGCTATACCGGCCCCTCCCTCAATCCCAAGAAGTGCAAGCAGAAGCAGACGAAGAGAAATGGAACGACTTCATGGGCCATGGAGGCGTGGCCAGCACCAGGAAGATGTCGAACGCGATGATGTATTGGCGCAAAAGATGCGGATTTACGGTTGGGTGAAAGAGCAACATCTTGACATACCGCCTGTGGGCGCTCACGGCCGTCGGTTTCTGAACCTGGCGCAGCAGGGTAGGTCTCGATGTCCGTTTATGCTGGGACTGTTTCTGACACTGAACGAAGAGCTTCTGAAGATCAATGGCTACCGTGCACCACGTGATAAAGTGATTTGCATATTGAATTGTTGCAAAGTTATCTTCGGTGAGCAGCAGAATGAATAATCCTTGAGCATGTAAGGTGCAGCGCTGACGCCGATTTCTCTTGCAGGGTTGCTCAAAAACT